AAAGTGTGGAGCATCTGATACATTGAGAATGTTGAGAATCACTAGTACATGCTTTAAAGAGACGATCACTGCACCACAAAGTCGAAAGAAATTATGGAAGTTCTGCTGGGAATTGAGTTCAATGAAGAGTTCGAGTTACAAGTGTAATCAGGTGCATATATATGTATGTATAACATAAATAAATTTAGATGTCACGAAATTTTTGTTAGGGTCAATTCTAATAGCACCACCTAATTAGCTAATGGAATTCTTACGATACACAGAAATAAGCATTACCAACAGTATAACAACATAGTCCCTTCATTGAACCATGTATTTTTACACAATTTTCTTTACAGTAACCCCAGGCCACTGATGAGCCTCAGGGGAAAGTGGAGACAATGAATCTCTAGTGAGTAGGCGGAACGAGTTATCTTTGATCTGTCGGTTACTTCGTCTTTTTGATGTATTTGCTTATTGTTGTTGTTTATGCTCCACTGACATCAGTCTGTTACATGTTACTTATTGGCCCTTGTAGCTCCCTGTAGGACCGGGCCGTTCTCTAACATTCTTCAACTATGGCGCCCCTAGACAAGTTCGCATAATTCCCTACCCCTTACAAGTCAGGTTAGACCTACAAGGAACAAATCCATAAATTTGGGGAGGCTGCCTAGCTTTGCGTCTGATATAGCCTTCTCATGGATGATTTCTGACCATATGTACAAAACTGATCTTCTCAAAACTGAGCAAGAGAAATTCAGAAGCAAGAACTGCAGACTCATTGTGGATTCCGTGAATTTCTACTGAGGCTATTTTTCTCGATCTATTTACGAATATCGTGATATACGGAGCCTTTGTTTTTTAAGAGACAACCAAAGGCAGGGATAGCCGAGTGTAGGGGAGTATAGGCTCACGTCTACACTTATAAAGAGGGGTGTGAGCCGATTCGTGTGATTCTGGCGGCAAATCGAGCGGCGAAATTCGGTGTGATTTGGACGACTGCAGCATTTATCATTGGGGCCCAAATTTGAAGCAAAGTAGGTTTATAGGATTGTTCGACCCTACTAAGGTACTCTACTTCAAGTTTGTGCCCTAATAAAAGGTGCCAGAGTTGTTTGAAACATCGCGAATTGCGCCGCGCAATTTGCACCCAGTATCGCACGAATCGTGCGTCCCCCTGTAAAGAGCGCGAGCTCAATTTCTGTGCAAAATTGTTACCGGTGCCAGCGTAAGGCCCAGTTTAACAAGCCAGTTGATGGAGAAACCTTGTCACAACAATCATGACTAAGGTAACAAAAAGTGTCACTGATAAAGGTAGGACGTCACCCAGAAGTGGCGCACAGGACCCCTCCCAAGTCCTGTGGGTAGTGTAGCTACCGAGGAGGGAACGACCTCGGTCGAAGAAGTTTCTTTGCATGGGACTCTGAACGTGGGATCGCTAGATGGAAATCTCAAGTGGTTTTCGATCCAATAAAGCGCAGAAACATTCGAGTTCTATACCTACACGCAACGGCTGTGGCTGTAAAGGCTCTATCACAACGGAAACGCCACCAAAAGAAATGGTGGGGCCATAGCAGTAGCAGAGCACAACGTAAAAGCCGCAAAGTGAAATGGTGTGGCTATGGCATTGGCAGATTCCCTCAAAGACTCTGTATCCACCGTCAACAGAACCAGCAGTCGAATCATGGCTGCGAGGATAAATACGAATGAGTGGTGAAGGGCAAATGTACGCAATGTACGAAAAGGATGACCACTATCTGAGCCACCGGATCAGTTCCAGAGCTGGATTATCTCACAATAGCGGGTGATCTCAATAGCCTCGTTGGAGTGAATGAAGGGATCTTGAGAGAATAAGGAGACAGGGGATTAGAAGTTAGGAATGAAGAAGGAGAAAGGGTTTTAACCTGGCCATAACCCATGTCTTGACAGTCTGCAGCACCCTCTCCGCGAAAAGGAAGACAGAAGGTAACTTATAACAATGGAGGTAAGCAAAGGGAAATAGATTATGAGCTCGCGAAATGATCGTTCCTTAAAACTGTAAAAGACATCTAAGTACTGCTTGGCGAAGAAA